CTTGCTTCTCTAATCTTTTTGCATTCTATCTATTTGTTTTCTTTTTATTTATTATACAATTATAATTCTGACTTTCTGACTTCTGATTAACAAAAGCAAAAAAGGCCTCTAACTAGCTTGCTCTATTATTTTTCTATTCTATCTGTTTTCTTTTTATTTATTGTATGATTTAAAAAAAAAACCTTGCTACGTGTACTGCATTAAGCTAACTGAGACTTGTTATAGCACTTATATATCATTGCTTTTTTGTTGATTTTGATTGCTCCCATTGTCCTCATTTGTAAGTCGCTTTGGATAAAAACGTCTGCTAAATGTCTAAATGTAAATGTAAAAAATTAAGAAATATATAGTTCATATAAACTACAGTTCAAAAGTTTGGGCTCAGTAAGATTTTGTAATGTTTTTGAAAGTCTTTAATGCTCACCAAGGCTGCATATATTTAATCAAAAATACAGTAAAAACAGTAAAACTGTGGAATAATATTACAATTTAAAGTAATGATGTTATTTTTTAATACTTTAATATGTAATTTTTCCCATGATGGCAATGCTGAATTTTCATCAGCCATTACTCTCATTCTAATATGCTGATTTGGTGCTCAAGGAGCATTTCTGATTATAATCCTATATTATTATTATATTATTATTACCTATTATTATTACATATTTTGTTGAAAGCGGTTGTGCTACTTAATATCTTTGTGGAAATCTATTAATGAACAGAAAGTTCAAAATAACAGCATTTATTTGAGATTTAAATCTTTTATAAACATCTTTACTGTCACTTTTGATCAACTTAATCCTTTCTGAATAAAAGTATTAATTTCTTTCAATTTCTTTTCTAATCTTACCAACCCAATTTTTTTTTTAATGGTATTGTATATAACATCACAGATGTACAGCTACTGTATATATTAATGTATATAGAATGCAGGAATGGACTATTGTCTGTAATTTGTAAAAGAATACGGTATATGAATACATTTCAGGCTTGTTTAGTGTGCTGATGCCCCAGTTTTTTAGTTAGAAGATATGTTAGGATTAGAACAATAGCTTACTGCTTATTACATACTACACAGTGTACACACTGTATACTGCCTACTCTTTTTCTAAAAAAAGATTGTGGAACAGTATTAGTGGAATTAGCAGTGTGTTACCATTTGATGGTCAGATCAAATAATGAGTCAAGGAAGAGAAGGTAAAAAACAGTGGTTGATATTGCTTCCAGTTCACTTGTCATTCTTAAAATAGAAGGTCAGGTTGAGCGCACTGCATTATGGGATACCGTACTGTGTGAGTGCTGTATGTGCTGTTGCATATGGCATATAATGGCAAATTTAGTAGGTCATACCGCAGAAATAGGATAGTATATTAGTACACGATTTCTGACCATATCCTCAATCGTCTCCTCGCACTCTGGGATCTTTTAGCATGGCCTGCCTTGCATTGGCTCATCATTTCTGCACTCTGCTGGCACAGTCTGTCTGTTTCTCTTCCAAACCTCTGTTGCTTCTGATGTATCTCTGTATCAGTTAGTACCGTCTGTGTGCGTTTCTCTCTCTTTCTCTGCTCAGTATACTTGGAATACAAAAGCTCCAATAGGTCAGACTGGCCCTTTGACCCTCTTCCACCATCTCACATCTTGGATTCCCCTCTAGGTGCTGCATTGATAGAGTCCCTACCTTTCATGCTCCCTCGTGTGGTACCTTCTCTGTCCTTCGACCCCATCTAAACTCCCCCATCTCAAGTCTCCAGATAGGTATATTCTGTCTGTTTTAGATTCACATCTATATGTGCTGTTTAACGGTACAGGTTGTTCCCCTGTGTTTGAGTTGCACATGCTCGTGCATATATGCATATGCTCTCAGAGATGCTTGTGTGTGTGTGAATGCATGTGAGTGCGAGGGCATTCGGAGATGTCCAGTTAGCCAGTGCTTCTGTGGTGTGCAAGCGCTGTAGATAATTCATATGAAAACCAGACCATGCAGAAACATAAATAACTACCACGACATCTGTTTACCCCGAGAGAGAAAGAGGGGGTCTGAGAGAAAGAAAGAGAGTGGGTGAGAGAGATGGGGGAAATCATAAAAGCAAGGGTGAGACAGATAAAGAGAGAGAGAGAGAGAGAGAGAGAGAGAGAGAGGGAGAGAAAGAGAAACAAATTCTACGCACGGATTTGCACGCCCGCCTGCATCACCACCTGAATCTCGGGTTACAAACGCATTACAGCGACTGCACCTTCACACACACACTTTTTCGTCTTAATCTTTGCACGTACACAAACACCTCTTCTTGTAGACAAACATATCTCTTTATACAAACAAACACACACATCATACAAAACCTATGTGCAATCACGCATGAACATGCTTGCACACTCGTGCACAAGTACGGGCACTCGTATGAATGAACACATTTCTAAGTTCACTTTGAATACTGAGACCAATGGAAATATAAAAAAGTTTTAACAGAATGTCTCTTTCACACAAGACTAATATTAGACTGTTATATTTCTTTTCCCTGGCTTTGATACGTGTTGTTTCACACCCTCGAAGCAGCTGAACGGTGTAAAAGTTACTTGGTAGACGTTGGTGTTGAAGCAATGACACCTCCGATTCAGCCAATCAGATAGGACTGTGTGGATCAGGTGTGCTGTTAACAGCCAATCAGATGATGGGAAATCTTTTTCAGGATGGAACTGCTTTTTGTGTCATCGTGAAGCAACACCATTGTAAGAAAAATGATGAGGACGATGAAGATCTCGATGAAGATGTTTATTGCAGCATATCAGTGACAAAGTACATGTAGTACCTTGGGTTCAACGGAGTCAGAATGAACCACGAACATCCTAAACTCAAACATTTTATCCTCTATTACGTTCATCTTCCCGCTTCATCTTCCCGCATGTAAATGAAGTTTCGTCTTAAATGTAAATTGCGGATAATAATGAAAGTGATAGCCTTCCGTTCCCACATCTTTGGTAGTCTTTCAGGTGGAAACAACCAAATGTTAGGGTGATAGGATTATCTATAATCCCTAGCAATTATATTCAAGTACCCTTTTGGTCAGCAGATGGTTCTTGATGGCCTACTACCGCTCCCACGCTTATAGGTGACGATTGACGAAGTAACATTCAGGAGATACTATTTACATATTATTGAAAGAATTATCTCTATGATAATTAAGCTCTTTGTAGAGAAAGGAGAATAGTTTAATTGGAGTGGAAGTTTGGTCGAGGCAGACTATAATTTCTTACACCATGATGCCCGTAGGAAAGAAAAATCACAATTCACACTTGTTTCTCCTAGGCATCATTGCAATTAAATGGAGAGCTAGCGGGGATTTAAGGTATAGTAATCTTATATGTACAATAATGTTCAAAAGTTAGAATTATTTTTTTAGAGAATGTTTTAAAAGAAATGTATACTTTTTTTCATTAAACTGATCAAAGTGACAGTAAATATATTTATAATACACATTTCTCCTCTACAAATTTCTACTCTAAATAAATGCTATTCTTTTGATCGGAAAGTATAACGGTTTCCACAAAAATATCAACATTGATATTGATAAGAAATGTTTCTCGAGCAGCAAATCAGCTTACTCAAATGAATTTTGCATCACAGGAATAATTTACATTTTAAAATATATTAAAATAGAAATGTTATATAAATAAATAAATAAATACATATATATATATATATATATACTAAAATGTTCCATTTTAATGATATTTCAAAATTATACTGTTTTTACTGTAAATATGTCTCAAACTGAAGGTGTCTCAAATTGATTTCAATATGAACAGTTCTCATCAAATTATTTCAAGATCAAATAATAAACATGCTAATATAATGCTATTTGCATTAATTTTATAGGTTTGTACTCTAACTATATGCCAGCTATTGTCTCATTTTTATTTCTCCACAGGATATTTCAGAGAATCATGATGAAATTATAACTCTGCGACTTTCTTTTTTCCATGGAACACAAAAGGAATCATTCATCAGAATGTCCAAGCAGCTTTTTGTGATAAAATGAAAGTGAATGGTGACCAAGATTTGACAAGCAAAATGTTTAGGGAAAGCTTTCAGTCAATTTAAATGTAGTCATCTATCGTATGACTTCAGAAGGCTTGGAATACTGCAGACGAGTCATTTGGACTGCTTTTATAAAGCCTGACTAAAGCTTTGACAAACTCTCACTTTCACTGAATGGGGCATCTTGTACATTCAGGTAAACATCTTCTTTCGT